GGGGCCCTGCTGTGTCCCCTGGTCCCCACCTGCTTTGCTGCCTTGATTTACCAGCCTGGCTGCTTTAGCGTGTGCAGAAGGATCGAAAGTTCAAAGTTCAGTGTAATATTCATTATACTATTCATGACAACACGCCCTCACTATCTACGTGCCCACTGAGGTCTTTAACCCTTACAGAGTTTACCTGCAAAAGGTGGTCCCAGCAATGCAGAGATGCCGTTAGCACAGATGATGATGCCGTAGGCGTTGGCCAGGTGTTCGATGCCAACCAGGTCTTCAGTCACGACAGGCATTAGGGAGAAATAACCACTGGAAAAGCCTATTAGTGCACAGATGACCGCCAGGCCAGCATAGGTGTGCATCAACGGCAGAATAAAAATACTGATGACGAGGGTGAAGTTGGCCATCAGGAAGACATTCCAGACGCTGCTGCAGGGTAAGTCGGCCACGATGCCCAGGATCACCTTCCCAAAGATGTGAACTATTGCTATAATTGAAGTCAGAGGGAAAACGTCATTTTGCTCCGATAAATTATACAGATTGACTATTTCAGGGAGGTGAATGAAGGGCATGACAAAGCTGCTGTACGCAAACAAAGCCCAGAAAATGAAGGCTACGAACATCCGGTTGGTAAAGAGGGAGGCTGTCCCAAAGTAGCCGGAGTACCAGTCGGAGAAGCCCCTCCTGACCCTCACGGTCAGCTGGCTGGCGGCCTTCAGAACCCGCAGGGCACACATGTTCTTCCTGTGCCGGGCCTCATCTGGGCACTCCTGGGCTTGAAGGTCACAAAGGGTCTCCTCGTTCCCGAGCCCCCCACCCTTCTCTTCTGTTGCCCCCAGCTGTCCGTTTGACTTCACGGATTCCACGGAGAGCGCCGCGGGGAGGACTCCCGGATCTTTCCCCCCTGGGTTGTTTCTGTCTTTCGGAAGGGAGAGGGGCCTCATGAGCGCCCCGCAAACACACAGGTTTAAGGAGACAGCACCCTGGATAAACATGGCGTTCCGCCATCCGTACTCCGCGCACAGGTACTTCAGCAGCACGGTCATTAGGAACGTGCCAAATCCAGTCCCCGTGGTGCTGAGGCCCTGGGCCAGGGCTCGTCTCTTCTGGAAATACTTCCCCACCATGACCACGGCCGGCAGGTAGGCCATCCCGCTGCCCAGGCCTGCGCGGGTTGAGAGGGAAGAAAAGGCACAGGCTACATGAATGGCTGTAGATGATCGTCGGCATTACCTTACATTAATGTCTGCCTATGCTTTTTCTTTCTACGAAGAAATAATGATGATTTTATTTATTTATTTGTTGAGACAGAGTGTCACTTTTTCACCCTGGGGTCGAGGGCTCTGGTGTCACAGCACAGCAACCTCAAACCCTTGGACTCAAGTGATCCTCTTGCCTCAGCCTCCCAAGTAGCTGGGACTACAGGTGCTGCCACAATGCCCGGCTAGTTTCTTCTATTTTAGTAGAGACAGGCTCTCACTCTTGTTCAGGTTGGTCTCTAACTCCTGAGCTCAAGAGAACCACCTGCCTTGGCCTTCCAGAGTGCTACGATTACAGGCATGAACCACTGTGCTGGCCAACAATAGTCATTTTAAAAAAGAAGAACTGGGCGGCGCCTGTGGCTCAAAGGAGTAGGGCGCCAGCCACCTCAGGGTCAAGCCCAGCCCCGGCCAAAAACTACAAAAAAAAAAAAAAAAAAAAGAAGAAGAACTGATCAATCCCTCTTCCTTTTCTCCCTCCCCCCAAGGAAGCAGTTAATGACATTTTTTAAAAAACGTTTTTCTGGCTTTGCCACAAATGAAATATTCCTTATCAATAAAATTTAAATGTAGTGGGAAAAAAAAAAGAAGGAGAACTGATGATAAAAACTGGGAGGAGCACCCCCAGAGTGGGTTTCTAGCTCATCATTCTCCCAGCAGGGCTTGAGGCCAGGTGCCCGCAATAGCAACGTGAAGCCATATTGTCATGTCCAGAGTATTAGCTCCACGTGGGCAGAACTGGGTCTGTATCTTCACCACCGGTGCACCTAGGACTGCCCAGAACGCATAGTAGGTGCTTAGGGATTTGTTTTAGAAAGAAAGAAAGAAAGAAAGAAAGAAAGAAAGAAAGAAAGAAAAGAAAAGAAAAGAAAAGAAAAAAGACTGGCTTCTCCAAGGGGCTGGACGCTGTTGTCTTAGGCCTCTGCTAATTGCATATGTGCAGGGATGAGGAGTGATGCCACCCAATTTGCAGGAGCCTCAGGAAAAGGCTAATTTGGTCACTAATTAATTGGAAGAAAAAAAGGAATTATAAGGTGCCCATAAATATACATACTTACCTGATGTCCACACTACATGGACTACATTATATCATTGATTTTTAATTGTATTAAAACAATGAAAACAGAGATAGTTTATTTACATTGACAAAACAATATGCTGGTGGC